TTTGGGTTTTTTAAGGGGTTTAAATTCTTAAAAAGAGGGTAGCATAAGTGGGTTCACACTGACAGGCTGGAGTTATGAACACATCTTATAGATCTTGGGTAGATGGGAGTCTTCTTTGTATGTGTAAGTTGTTCTTTGACCCTTAGCATTTTGTCAAAGCACAACTATGCTTTTCCTTGAGAGAACTCTTTTAAACACCAAAACCAGTTTGTGAAGTGGAATCATTTTTATTCCACTAAGTCTTGTCCCTTAGTCAAATACACTTTCGCATTTGCATAAGCATGATTCACAGTTTAAGCATAATTGAATGTTAAGAAGGTTGTTTGATTTGATGAGCATGTGTAGGTTGATAGCTTTGTGATCATTATTTTTTGTGATGAAAGTGGCTAAGTGTTTAAAGTTATCTTCCATCAAGTGCACTCTAGAATTGAGAACATGGACTTCATTTTGATTTATTGTTAGCATTTTCAAAGATATGAGTTCCCATTTAAAACCTCATCACCATGTTAGGTGTTTGTTTGCTTGAAGGCAAGCAAAGGCTAAGTGTAGGGGTGTTGATAGCTAGCTATTTTAGACCATTTTAGGCTGTATTTCATGCATCTTTCCCTTTGTCTTTGCATTATAAATTAGCATTTTAGCATCATTTGCACTTAGAATCAACATAACATGCATTTAGCTTAGGATTGCATGCATTTGCATACATGTGCATGTTTGTGGTGGTTTTCAGGTGTTTTTGAAGTTTCTTGGAGTTGGGAAGGAGATGGAAATAAATCATGATCAAAGAAGATGTCAGAAATGGAGCTCTTGCAAAGTCTGGTCCATATCGAGCAAGCATATCGAGCAGAACACTCGTGGAGTTTGCTCGATGCAAGCAGACGAGAGGAAGAGGATCAGCATGAGGATTCCAAGACGTTGGTCTGCATCAAGGACCAGCATCGAGGAAGGAAGCCGATGCGCGCTGCACGGACCATATCAAAGTCGCATATCGAGCAGAACATCGTCCGTACGACCTCGATGCAACTTATCCGCGCATTGACCACTTTATTTTCATTAACCTTATCCTATTTTCAGGTTTTTTATGCTTCTTTTGACTCTCTACTATAAAAGGAAACCTACAAAACATTATCTTTATTCAAGTTTAACTTTTTTATCGAAAACTCTCTCTTCTCTAAACCTTAAATGGCGATTTGCCTTAAGGATCTTAATCTTTAATGAAGTTTGCATTTTTCTGGTTTAATCTTGTCTTTTAATCTTTGTTCTTGCACCCTGGTAGTTTAGATTTATCATCTTTGCATTTTAATCTCATCTAGTTATGTTTAACTCCAAACAAATGGGATTAAACATGATTAGTGAGTAGTCTTCTTTAGATTTAGGGTTCTAAGTAGGGAAAGTGGTGATTAGGATGTGATTACGGGGTGATTAGGCATATTTAACTATTCTTTGTTGTCTCCTTCTCTTGCAAAATGGTTATTGTTCATAAAGCTTGCTCCTTTTGATTGAATATGATATTGATTGATGCATATGGTTCACTAAATGGCATGGTTCGCTTATTTGGCTTGATAGTTTGGCTTGGTCTATGTTTTCTTTGTTCAGTGACACCAAAGTGATAGTTCACGATTGCTAGATGATTTGCTGAGGGCTAAGTAGTGCTGGTTTTGAGATTCTTGCTTGATGGTTAGATAATATGCATTAAAAGATCTTGCATTTGCCTCATTCATGTTCATTGCTTAGCTTTGTTAGGATGTTGCAGCTGTGCGCTTAAATCCATATTCTTGATTGGTGTTTAGCTAGCTAGGTCCTTATAGGTTCACAAGATTGATAAGTTGATCTGAATTCTTGCTTGGGTGAGAGAATGATTGCTTGATTAGTACATCTCTTAGGCTATAATGGTTCTGATCTTTGTGCTCATGGTTGAAGGATACGCCATCACAAGTGGGTCTGACACTTCAATCTTGTTGAATATGAACTGCTTATTAACGCCAAGTTGGTTCCTTTTAGATACCTTGTCTAGGAGTACAACATTGCGAATTGCTTGCTTTTAAATGCTTGATATTTGCCTTTGTTAGAAATCCCCATATTCACTCTTAAAAGCCACTGCCCCACAATTGCTTAGAATCTTGAGTCTTGCTTTTAATTAATTATCTTTAAGATCATCTTGCTTAGTTCTTGCTTTAGTAGTCAACTTTCTTAAATTCTTGCTTAGTCGTTGCTTTAAGTTTATTGTTTAGTTCTGTTCACTTGCATTTAGTTTATGCTTTCTTTCCATTGCATTGTTAGGTTGTTCGACTTGTTCTTGTTCAATCAAAACTCCATCATTGATTAGCTTATGACATTGTTTGCATCTTATCTTCCACAAATGAATTGATACATAATCTTTATTTACAACTGATTAGAGGCTAAGTACATTTGAGTTTAGACCTGCAAATGTCTTTTTTCAGCCTGACGCACATGCATTGCAAAATTCGCAACTTATTTGCGACGTGTATTACATATTTGCGTCTTTCATTATCCCTCGCAAAATTTATGACATACAGTTTCCAACGCAAATTTTTGTGACTGATTAGTGTGGTATTTTTTTCCTTCAAAAATATTGCAACAGCTTTGCGATAGATTTTAAATTTGCGGCTAAGTGACTGCAATATTTTTGTGTCTGTCGCAAGTTCGATGTTATTTACCATTTGCAACGAGCTTGCAACCAAATTTTCCATCACAAACGAACTATTTTCTTGTAGTGAGTGTTCTTACAGTGTTACTATATTAAATTTTATAAAAAGAAATCAAAGTTTACATAAATATATAAATGCTTCTAGAATTAAGAAATCAAGATTTTATATGGATTTAGATTTAAAATTATATTTCAATTTGGATTCACCCATATTTGATTCAGAATGAAGATTTCGATTTAGTAGTTTATAGTTAGGGTTTAGAGTTAAGATTTTAAGGTTTAGATATATTTTAGTTTGGGTTCACTCATCTTTAGTTAAGGTTTAAAGTTTAGATTTAAGGTCGCAGCCAATCATTTCAGTTGGAAGAAAATCTTTTGTTTGTATCATCATGATTTTAGGTTCTTTCCCTTTTTTCGAGTATTGGACTATAAAATCATATTTGTCACCACCTAATGGTCCAACAGTGGAATCGCCTTCGTGATATCTATTGTAAAGAGGATCTTTCCTTTTTCTTTATCTTTGGCTGATTTTTTTCGTCAGGTTCGTAGACTTCTTCCATGCAAGCAGTGCAAGAATATACAACAAAGTATTGATCTCCATTCTCATCCATGAAAGGGTATACGACTGTTCCGTTCTGACCAAAAGACAGTGGTTTTAGAACTTGACATAATGGAAATTTACCGGATTGGGCATACTCCATGACTTTTCTGTTTGAAAATGGTCTTATGAGTTCACGAACACTTTTGACTTAAAAGGCGCTAGGCTTTTTTGCAAAGTATTCGTATGGATTTACCAGTTGAAGAGTAGTTTTAGGCAATTGATCTCCTGTAACATACTTGATTTCATATAAGGAATTTATGCTGGACGAGGACGAACGACTTTTGTTTTTTAGTAAAGTAGAAATTGTAAATGGGGAATCGATGGATAAATGATTTGAAGTAGACATGGTGAAAAAATATTTTTCAGAACATTCAAAACTATCAATCATAGACAATGATTCTTTCGATCATTGGCCTTTGATACCATTTCTATGCTGAACCTCTAAGATATTTTGTTGACTAGAGTCGTGTTGACAGACGAGAACGCTAATTTTCGAGTAAGGAAGCTGTATTAGAAAATTTACCTAAATATTTAATTGGTTAGGTTTCAGCTACACGATGATAACGATTAATCAAAGATAATTAAATAAAATTTGGTCTTTCAAGAAGTAAGTAAACAATTCTAGGAATTTTAAAAGATGATAAATGTACTCAGCCGTTCCAAGTTCTCGTCAACTAATGATTTTGAAAGATCACTACCATTATCCTCATTTAAGGTTTCTAGGTCAATGAGATTGTTTATTTGATTCTCCAAAGAGTTTTCGTTTATCTTAACTAGGTGATGATCCACGTATATACGTACGTTTATATGTGACCACATATTTTTATATTTATAATTAATATGATAATTTCAAATTTCAATATAATAATAATATAATTTTGAATTTGTTCTGTAAATATATAAATATGGTTTCAATTAATCCATATACAGATTTTTTAAAAAGCCTAAAATATATGTGAATTGATGAATAAATTTTTATTGCTTCTATTTCAAAAGTTTGGTATTAAAAACTAAATTTGCTTTAAATTGCTTTTAACCTACATAAATATTGCCAGAATTTCTTTGATCTTTTATTTTTATTATTTATGTATGTATTTTTGTTTTCTGTTAATATAATGTTAATTTTTAATTTGTTGGTTGCGAGAATTGAAGCATCGATTAAGAAAAACTACTATTATATGTTAAATGAGAGTTCATAAAAAAACTATTGATTTTGATTTTTTTTCCTTATATGTTAAAGCAATATTCAAATTGTTGAATTGACTTCACAATTGATATTTTGTGTACATGTATAAGTTTTGGATCAAAAAGTATGCACATAAATTTTAATAAAAGAATAGATAATGAGCTTTTAAGGTCATCTGCCTCAACTACCAAAATCAGTTTCCTGAGGTTTTAGTTTTGTATAAGAAACAAAAAAGGTAAACCCCTTAACCACATAATGTAGTACCTTCTTTCAGTTCTTCTTTCCTTGCTCTGCCTCTTCTTCCTCGTCATCATCCTCATCATCATCTTCCTCGTCCTCCTCATCATCATCCTCATCCATCTCCTCATCGTCGTCCTCCATCTCAAGGTCATCTGCCTCAACAGCTTCACCAGTGAACCATGACACAGCATGCACGATGATTTTGTTTTTGATGGTTGATCTACAGGATAAACATTCGACAGATTCAGATCCTAGAACTGAATTAAAAAGCAAAGAGAACTGAAGATGAAATAGAAAGGTACAGACCCAATATCATAGTCGTGCTCCATATGGCCTTGGAGTTCATCAGCCTGTGCAATGCAAGAATAGATTATCAGATCAACGATAAGCACAAATCCCTAAGTACTAAATCGAAAATCAAACTGCTTTTGGGAAAGGCCGTATCATGTCATCATCAAGATCCTCTTCATCGTCAGGAACATGAGGTGGACTGAAAAAGTTGAAGAAGCTCTCACACTCCTCAGTCTTAGTGATTGGCTTTGTGTTTTTGGATCCCTTCTTTGGCTTCTTTTTAAGGATCTTCTGAGTCAAGCATTTTCCAGGATACCACTCAATCTCTGTCCTGAAATTTATAGTTAAATATCAGTAAGACTTCTTGTTTTAAATAGACGACAAAATCAAATACATGATAGAGCAAAAGATCATACCCAATGGCCTTCTCGAGGATAGGTTCATCCTCATCAATCATGTGATATGTCTTGGTCAAGACAGTGTTCTTGAAGTAAGGGTTCTGATCAAAAAAGAACTCAAGCTTGAACACTTTTGGTTTTTCAACCCTATTCCACTTGATATCTTTAAGGAACTTAAGAGCACCTTCATCTCCCTCAGTTATCTAGAAACATCGGAAAAAAAAGTACAGCAAGATAAAAAAAAAATTGCCTTTTCATAAAAAAAAAAAAGAGTATCCTAATAACAAACCTCCTCAGCGGTAATTTCATTGTTCATTAATGCAATAAGCCAGAAATCCGGTACTCTTTTCTCTGCAGAAAAAAAAAACAGTTCATCGTATCAGTTGAAACATGATTACTCCATCATATGAAACTAAGAAAAATAACCAGACTTTAGTATAAGTAAAGCCTAACACACCGTCAGCAGCTTTATCTTCTCATTGTTCTGTTTTCACTTCTTCCGGTGCACCTTCAACTTCTACCACACCGTTCACAATCTGTATATGATTAATACCTTAGTAAAGCAAAAAACCATAAATATAAATTTATAATCATACAACAGTGAGAAGTCTTATTAAAGTGTTATTAGTCTTATTCTAATATTACGTTGTGAAAGCAAAACACCAATCAATATCAATATTGATCAAAATAAGTAGCAACAGAGAGAAGTCCCATTCAACTTTAGGTAGTTGAGATTTCATGTGCATCAAGAACAATACTCTCACATTAGGAAGCTAAAGATCACAGACTCGAAGATCATTTTTCATACCTTGGTATACAAAGGCTGATGCAGCTTTTGGTATTTAGCTTCTAGAGCTGCCCTCTCCTCGAAGAATTTAGCTTCCATTTCATCATGTTGGTTCTGCGGTGTAAATTGAAAAAAGGAATCAGATACAAATTACGCCAGAGCACAAAACCAAACCAATTCAAACCCAACGCAAATCCAGGATCACAAATTACAACACTGTGTCCAAAACCATCTAGCTGAAATTTCACTCGCCTGAATCTCTCTTAGAACCTCGACACGCTTCCTGACTATCGGACTCAAGTTCTCCAGGACATCTGAGTGTTGTCCAGCCAAATTCTGCTACTTGTTCTGCACAAACACACAAAATAACAATCAATTTCAGACGCAAAGATAATCATCATATCGTCTAAAATCTTTAAGGTCAAATCAATTCTCAAAAATCAGCAAAGCCCAAATCACTACCAAAGGTTGCAGATATTCAAACGGAAAATAACAGTAAAATTAAGGTGCAGAGACGCTCCTCAAACCAAAGTCCATTGTTCTGAATCATCTTAGTGAACGCAATTCTCAAGTTTTCGGAAGTCAAAGGATTTAAAGGAAAAAAAATTCAAACACAATTAGGAAGAATCTAAGAGATTGATTTCACTCAAACGACAATAAAAATCTGACCTGACTGCTGACTCTTGTCTGCATGATCAAACAATTCTAAGTTCTCTCGACTATTAAAGCTCAGATGAGGCGGCCATGATATAGGATATTTACGTTAGTACGAGAGCTCCGTATTGGGTCAATTATTATTGGGTTTTCTAAGATAAGATTATGAGTTTTCTTAATTAAGTTTATTATCTATTGTCGGCTTTGATACTTATAACCGATCCTTAATATCATTCAGAAATAAAAAAGGAAATTCTTCTTCTCTCTTGTTTTCTTCATTAAGTTACTCAATCCTAGCTGAGAATCTCTTCTATTATCGTAGATTCTCTGCCGGTAAGTGCGTAATCTGTGTTTTAGGAACATTGGTTTCTAGTTCTATCAGATTAGTCGGTACTGCAGGTTTCCCTCTATCAAAGGTATCAGACATCAAACGATTCTACGGCTTCAATGACAGAAACATGTAACCAGATTGTTGCTCGCGAAATCGAAGAATTAGGATCAAGGTTGGAGGAGATGATTACTCGCACATAAACTTTGAAAGGGAAATTCGATGAACAAAACGAAAAAAATCGAAAAGGGGTTCTCTGATATGTTCGAAGCAATCCGTTTACTTTCAACGGCTCGTGCCGAGACTTTAACAAGCGCCACTCCGCTTCACTCTTCTACTCAGAACACGGGCAAATTCGAACAAGGAAAAGGAAGAATAGGTCCTCAAGCTAACTACTCGGGAGTCACTAGGTTAGCCAAGATCGACTTTCCTCGGTTCAATGGTGATAGAATCAAAGAATGGCTGTTTAAGGTGGAACATTTTTTTGCGATTGATCATACACCAAACAACCTAAAAGTGGGGATTGCTTCCATCCACTTCGACGATAAGACAGTAACTTGGCATCAATCGATCATGTAATCAGATATGGGGAACACCGTGATGTTTGATTGGCACACGTACAAGCTGCTACTGCAGGAGCGCTTTGAGGAGGTGATGGATGATCCGATGGTGGAGTTAAAAAGACTGCAAGAAACGGATGGCATCATGGATTACCATGCTCGTTTTGAGATTATTAAAACAAAGGTTAAATTGTCGAAAGAATACTTGGTTAGTGCGTATTTGGCAGGCTTGCGGACAGACACACAGATGCATATCAGGATGTTTCAACCCCAGAATACACGCCAATGCTTACTTCTTGCTCGCTTATACGAGACGACTCATCCTAAGAAATCGTTTAACATAAGCTGGTCTAGTTCCAAGGTTAACGTGGATAATAAGGGAGTACTACCATTCAAACGGGATGCTGAGACGAAAGTAGGCTTTCCTGCTGCAGGGCCTAAAGTTACTGACCAACAAAACAAGCTTCGACAGTTTCTTACCCCAGAGGAGAAAGCCAAGAGAAGAGCAGATGGTTTATGTTATTATTGTCATGAAAAGTACACGCCAGGTCACTTTCTTAAACAAAAGAAGACACAACTATTCATGCTAGAAACAGAGGAAGAAGATGAAGACTGTGAAGACCCTTCTGAACAAGTGGTAGAAGAAGAAACAGGGGACATCGCTCAAATTTCGGTGAATGCTATTGCTGAAGCTCGGATTGTAACACTATGAGAGTCAAGGGAGAATGTGGGAAACATGCTTTATTCATTCTCATTGATACAGGCTCTACTCATAACTTTATTGACAAGAACGCAGCAGCGAAACTGGGATGCACAATACGTTCTATCGGGACTTCACGAGTTAATATGGCTGATGGTCGTAAGGTTGCTGTTGGTGGTCACATTGATAACTTTCAATGGAAGTTTCAGGGCACACTTTTTCAATCGAATGTCATGGTACTTCCTCTTGGAGGTTGCGACATGGTCTTAGGCATTCAATGGTTAGAAACCTTAGGTCCTATTACTAGTTTCAAGAACTAAAGATACACTTTAAATACGGAACAACGAAGGTACTACTCCACGGAATCAAGCAAGACTCGGTCCGCTATATGAAAGCAGCCAAACTCAACAAGCTCCAAGAAACAGAGATTCAGTTGGCTATGATTATCGCTCAACCATGTCAGGAGGAAGAAACGCAAGTTCAGTTGTGTTCTCTCGATGCTACAAAGACATCATTCACCACTTCTTCAGAGATTGATGTTTTGTTGGCTGAATTTACGGATATTTTCAAGGAGCCTGAAGCTTTACCTCCTTTTCGGACTCATCATAACCATCACATTCCCCTCTTAGAAGGTTCAAATCCTATTTACCAACGCCCTTATCGCTATGCCCTTCACCAGAAGAATGAAATCGATAAGATTGTGCAAGAGATGTTGTCTTCCGGTACCATTCAGCCCAGTTCAAGCTCTTATGCATCTCTGGTGGTTTTGGTCAAGAAAAAATATGGGAACTGGCGCCTTTGTGTCGACTATCGAGGTTTGAATAACATGGGAGTTTAAGATCGATTTCCTATTCCCTTAATCGAAGACCTTATAGATGAGTTGGGAGGCTCTAAGGTGTACTCCAAGATCAATTTGAGAGCAGGATATCATCAAGTCCGGATGGATCCTTCTGATATTCTCAAGACTGCTTTTAAAACTCATAGCGGTCACTTTGAGTATCTAGTAATGCCATTTGGGCTTACTAACGCGCCAGCTACTTTTCAGAACCTTATGAACTCAGTTTTCACGGAATTTTTCAGGAAAATTTATTCTCATAATCATTGATGATATCTTACTCTACAGTTCTCATTGGAAACTCACGTGGATCACTTGTGCTGTGTGTTTGAAGTAATGCGCCATAATAGCTTGTTTGCAAAACAGAGCACGTGCTCGTTCGCGGTGGATAAGATTGAGTATTTGGGGGCATTTTATTGAAGAGAAAGGCATATCTACGGATCATAACAAGGTCAAGGTTGTCGCGGAATGGCCCACTACAGTGAATCTCAAACAGCTTCGTGGCTTCTTAGGCTTGGCTGGTTATTACCGACGGTTCGTCAAAATTTTTGGAACAATCGCTCGCCCTCTCACAGTTTTAACCAAGAAAGATTCTTTTTTCTGGTCTGATGAAGCACACACGGTATTCGAGCATTTAAAGTGTGCTTTATGTGAAGCTCCTGTTTTAGCCTTGCCACTGTTTGATAAACCCTTTGTCGTTGAGACGGATGCGTGTGGTCAAGGAATAGGAGCTGTCTTAATGCAAGAGGGCCACCCGTTAACATACATCAGCCGTCACCTCAAAGGTAAACAAGTACATTTATTCATCTACGAGAAGAAGTTATTAGCCATGGTGTTTGCGGTTCAGAAGTGGCGTCACTACTTGCTTACTGGTCACTTTGTGATTAAAACGGATCAGAGGAGCTTGAAGTACTTATTGGAGCAAAGGTTAAACACACCGATTCAACAACAATGGCTCTTGAAACTGCTTGAATTTGATTACGAGATACAGTATAAACAAGGCAAAGAGAACTTAGTCGCGGATGCACTGTCGCGAATGGAGGGAGCTGAGATTTTGCACATGGCGATGAATGTTCTGGAATCGGACTTATTGCAACAAATCCAGTCCTGTTATGAATCCGATGCAGCAGTTAAAGGGTTGATCGCAGAGCTGAAACAACGACCGTTGTCTAAAAAGCACTACTCATGGACACAAGATATTTTACGCAGGAAGAGTAAGATTGTAGTCCCGAACAATACCTCTCTACGCAACAAGATTCTGGAGTGGTTACATTGTTCCGGTAGTGGTGGCCACTCAGGGAGAGACGCTACTCATCAGCGTGTTAAAGGGACATTCAAACTTACATCCGCAACTGTAACGTTTGCCAGCAGTGTAAGTATGATCCAGCTGCTTCCCCAGGTTTGATTCAACCTCTCCCTATTCCGGAAACAATTTGGACCGACATATCGATGGATTTTTTTGATGGATTACCCTCATCTAACATTAAATCAGTCATTTTCATGATAGTCGATAAGCTCAGCAAGGCCGCTCATTTTGTGATCCTCTCGCACCCTTATACGACATCTACAGTAGCTCAACCTTCTTAGACAACGTGTTTAAGCTCTATGGCTTTCTGCAGTCTATAGTGAGCGATCGCGATGCTGTTTCCTTGAGTGAGTTTTGGCGTAAACTCTTCAGTCTTCAAGGCGTGGCACTTAATTTATCAAGCGCTTACCACCCGCAGAGTGATGGTCAAACTGAGGTCGTTAATCGATGTTTGGAAACATACTTACGATGTATGTGTAGTGACCGACCTCACCTTTGGAGCAAATGGCTTCCCTTGGCAGAATTTTGGTATAACACCAATTACCATACAGCTATACAAATGACTCCCTATGAAGCTGTTTACGGCCAAGCTCCTCCTCAACATTTGCCTTACTTACCCGGTGAGTCGAAAGTGGCGGTGGTTGCAAAATGCTTACAGGAAAGAGAAAATATGATTTTGATCCTGAAGTTTCATCTGCTCCGAGCTCAACACAGGATGCAACAGTTTGCCAATCAGGATAGAATGGACTGCAGCTTCGAAATTGGAGATTTTGTGTATGTGAAACTCCAACCTTATCGACAGAAGTCAGTTGTGATGCGCTCAAACCAGAAGCTTTCTCCTAAGTATTTTAGACCTTATAAAGTCATTGATAAGTGAGGAAAGGTCGCCTACAAGTTACAACTACCGGCAACATTTCAGATTCATCCTGTGTTTCATGTTTCTCAACTGAAATTGCAGGTTGGTAATGTGACTGTCTCGAACCAATTGCCTTCTATACACAGGACGTATTGATCAAAGAACCTGAGCGAATACTAGAACGCAAGATGGTTAATCGCCAAGGGCAAGCTACTACAATGGTCTTGGTGAAGTGGACATCTCAAGCTGAGGAATAGGCTACACGGGAACTTTTTTTCAATTTGCAAAAGAAGTATCCTTCTTTACACCTTGTCCTCAAGGTTTTTCAAATGGGGGAGATTTGATATAGGATATTTATGTTAGTACGAGAGCTCCGTATTGGTTTCAATTATTATTGAGTTTTCTAAGATAATATTATGGATTTTATTAATTAAGCTTATTATCTATTGTCGGCTTTGATACTTATATAAGGAGTTGTAACAGACCCTTAATATCATTCAGAAATAAAAAGGAAATTCTTCTTCTCTCTTGTCTTCTTCGTTAAATTACTTAACCCTAGCTGAGAATCTCTTCTACTATCGTAGATTTTCTGCCGGTGAGTGCGGAATCTGTGTTTTAGGAACATTGGTTTCGAGTTCTATCAGGTTAGTCGGGACTGCAGGTTTCCCTCTATCAGGCCATATGAGAAGCTTAACTTCATGATATCTCAACGGACCCAAAGCTTTAAACAGAAGATAGAACCAACAGTGGTGACGAGCGGAGTGTAGAAGAGGGCGATGGCGAAGGACGACGCGGATCCAGCGGGGATATGATACGTCGGGGCTTTGAAGCACAACAGGTGGTGGAAGAATCAATGGCTGATAAGCAACTAAAGCTGAAATACCCCGTTATGTTTAGCTATTTATTTTTGATTTTAATTTTAATCGGAAAACATGCTAAAGTCATCTAACCTCTTCGTACAATGAAAAATTACAGACCCAACCATCTATTATTCGGATTACCCACACTCAGATCCAAAATGAACTGGATCTAAATCCACTTTTCTTTTTTCCTACGACTTCATCTCCTTCAAGCGAGCGAGAACTCATTCACGTTCACCAAATTCGCCAAAACTCATTCACCTCCACTAAGTTCGTCACATAATACTTCAGATGCAGCATCGCTAATTAAATCCCAGATTCCCAGGGAAAATACGAAATCCTTCTCCCAGCTTCAAACAGAATCCTTCTCCCAGCCGCAGCCACCTCGGCCTTTGCCTCATCATCATCCTCAGATGCCGCACCTTTGTCGCCCTCTGACGGTGTCGTTTCCTCCATAACTGGCGGCTTCTTCGCCTCTCTGCTGTCTCGACTTGACAATGTCTCTTCTCTTCTGGCCATCAACCCCTTCTACAAGCTCTCCGCCGATGACTTTTCAGGTGAGACGCCGTGGACCACCCGTTTCTTTGGCATGTGTGACTCTTATTCATTCCCGTTGTCTTCTCAGCAAGCGAGAATGATAGTCCATGAGAATATAAAGCTATTCACCAGGAATTACGCTATGCTCTTCATCGTCTTCTTTGCTCCATACTCTTAAACTTGTCTTTATTTAGGTCTAAATTGCTCGATTAGGTTATGTATGAATCCGAATGTCGAATAAATTCATGGAAATTAGGTGGAACTGAAGTGTTGAATTTGCTGTTCTTGTTCGTCTCTTGGTGCTTTGTAGGTATTAGATGCTGCTTGCGTTGGTTGGATACTTAGCAAGCTTAGCCCTTTCGGAGCTGTTCAAATACTGCAGTGATAGATGGAATCATTCCTTTGATTTGCTTAATGCATTGCACATATCCAACCCTTGGGATTGATAGGAAAATTGGTATCGTAACCAAAGATTATGACTCTCTTGCTTGCAGCTCTTCTTGAGGAAATCGGTTCTTGTTCTTTCGGACTATGCAACCCCTACTTCTCAGAATCTTTTGGCTCGTTTGGCTATAGAGAGCATTGTGTTTCATGTGGTGATGAACCTTAGAGGATGTGCTGGTTTGGTTAATATAATTATTTGGTACAACTGAGTTGATATTAGTGATTATTAGGTATAAATGGATTTTTTACGAACAACTGAGTCGATACTAATGAAATTATCGGATACAAACCAAAGATTAAAGAGTACTAGGTGATGACTCGCGTGTACATTTGTATAATATTTTAAGTTTTGAAAACGTAATTAATATAATATTTTAAGTAATTATACATTTGTTTGATAATAATTTATTTTTATATTTATTATTTTTTTTACTTACAAATATTATAAATGTTTATGTTTTTTACTGTATCAAATTTGAAGCTAATGCATCAAAGGATGAGCCGATGAGATACCAGAAAATGGTTAACTTTCTGGTATAAACCTGACCACCAAACCAATCCGGATTAACCTCCTTTGTTTGTCCTTAAAACGTGTTAGTCCTTTGTCTTTCAATATTGAAATTTAAATTTGGGCAACATATGTAAACAAAAAGTATAGAGTGGCATAGTTTTGATCGTCGGTTTTCTTAAGTATTCAGTCTGTTTATTATTTTGATTTTTGTACGCACCATTTCTTTACAAAAATGCTGGAAACCGAAAAGGAACAAATTGGACAGAGAAATAAACATTATTCGATTGCATGCTTTTTAATTAATTAACATAATATAAAACAAAAATACAGAAGGGATTAGTATTCAAGGCAAACCCAGAGTGTCCAATATGGTTTAACTCATCCCAACTAAATCAAAACTGAACCGAACAGAAGATAAACCACTGTACTACGAACATAAGGATATAGATATCAGCTCCAAAAATGAGATCAAAAATAGTTGTGCAACTTGAGAGTCGATAGTATTACGTAAAAATATTATTTCTCACCAGGGCCACTTGAATGTTCATGGAGATCGATGTTTTTCTTCTGTATCTGAAAATTTCAATTATAAAGACCTTGATTATACATTGTACAAAATGATGCATTCTCAGAGAAAATCTTCAGTGGAGTTAACTAACCTTGCCTTTAGCACTTCATCGTTATGGTCAGTAAGAACAACTTTACGGCAGAATTTGCTACAGAGAACTCTTGTTATACCTGTGTTATAACAACAACAACAAAAGTATTCAGAACGTTCTGCAAATTACGACTTTGAAGTTTATATATGTTAATGATGATTGAATTACAGGCAAAGAGAGTCTACAAAGAGCAAATCTGTCAAGAAAATATACAACATTTCAACACGTGGTGAAAATGTTTACAATATCGAACATTAGATACGTTAAGAGAGACAATACAAAGCACTAATCAACGCCAGATCCCAATTCCAAGACTGAACATCCCTGGAGAATCTCAGTATTTTCCGAGAGATAACCGTTCATAAGCATAGCACCAACCATGCCAAACCAGCTGCCCTGTTAAATCAAAATCAGCTATACCAACAACATCCGTTTTAGACACCCAAAGATCTCTCAACTCATTGCTCAAAATTTTAGTTTATTTATGCTTATAAGAAGTTTAAAGAATACACATAAACAACTAATTACAATTTCATAAGGATGTTAGACCATCTCCAATGAAGGCTCTTAAGAAATTCTAAAAATTAAAAAAAATAAAAAGTAATAAAAAAATGAAAGAGAGAGACACATGTTCTATAAAGAAAAGTTTTAGAAATAGGTTCTCATCTTTTTAGATGATGTGTCAACATTTTATTTGTTCAATTTTTTTTGTTTTTAAAACTTATTTTTATTTGTTATATTGATAAAAAACTGATTAGAAACTCAAAATAGGAGACTTAAAGCATGATTAATGGAGATATTTAAAGGAGCTCTTAAAAAGAAAAGAAAAAAAAAACAAATATGAGGTGGCATTAATTATCCGAGAATCGTCTCTTCTATGAGAGGTTGTAGAAGCGACTCTAATGAAACGTGTCACATATTTATTTGTTGAAAAAAACATTTTAGTTGACAAACAAAAATTAATTTTCTCTTTTCTTCTTGTTTCTATCGATCCGTCTTCGGTTTTCTCTGACGAAGAGCACCACTTCGAGTCCAGTGATTTGCTATCCTCCCTTTCTCTGCAGTCTCTCTTTTGTTATCTTGCTTGCTCATCTATGGCTTTGGGTTGTATTGCAGCTTCGTTAGAAGAAGTGGTTTGAATTGATCGAACAGCTGGTGTGTTCATCGCCACAAACTATGACTATGATGCTCCTCTTGATGAATATGGTAATTAACTATTTACAATCTCTCTCTCTTCGATTTGATTGACAATTCGAATAATTTTTTGTTTTTAAAGGATTACCGAGAGAACCAAGTATAGTCATTTGAAAGAGCTGCATAAGGTCATCAAACTATTGTGAACGTGTGTTGGTCTCTGTTGATCCAGTCATTACATTGCTAGGCGGAAAACAAGAAGTAAGTATGCAATGTAACAAAGAGAAGATGGATGTTATGACACCTTGGATTGCGACTAGAGTCACTGAGCTTCTTGGTTTTGAAGATGAAGTACTGATCAACTTTATATACGGTCTTCTTGATGGGAAGGTAGCATTATATCTGAGCTTTGCTTTATCCTCTTCCTTAACCTTGTTGTAGATTGTTTACATGAAATGTATTGGAAGGTTTATGTAACAAGTGGTTTTTTTTGTTGTCTTCAAACTATTGCTGGAATAGTATCTAATTGAACGGTGTTCCTAATGTAGGTAGTGAATGGTAAGGAGATTCAGATTTTGATTACTGGATTTATGGAGAAAAATACTGGGAAGTTCATGGAAGAGCTCTGGACATTTCTTCTAAGCGCACAGAACAATTCATTTCCCTGCAATACTTTTGACGCTAAGATCTTATGCGTGGGATGGGTGTTTGCCTGCATTCCCTGTTCAGCTCTACGAGGTATACTAGTGTTGATGTGAGTTATTTTAGTATTGTTTATGTGTTTCAGATTGTTGTATGAACATATGTTCCTTTGTGCTGGTTTGGTTATGCAAGAGAACATTTTGAGAGTGTTATCAAGGAGCATGAGCATGATATATCAAGGAAGAAAGTAAGACTAAGTCATTCCATGCTAGAGTTACAGCCTTTACAGATGTTTTTCTGGTTTTTGACATTCTCCTGTTCTTTTCATGGTATTCAGATAGCTTCTGCAATTATTAGGATTTATGTGCTTTACCTCAAACTACTGTAGGACAACAGCGGCGAACAGAAGGTTTCAATTGCAATTTACTAATATGTATATATGTATCAGGAGTTTGGCGTCACAGCCATTCACGTGAAGCTCCGTGCCAAGACTCCAGGTCGTGGTGCTCAGTCTGCCCTTCGTGCCTTTACTCGTTCAGGAATAAATATTGGTCGCATAGGTAACTTCTGTGTAATTCTAATTAGCCTCTGGAATTTGGATTTTACATGCCAGACAAGTTGTGCTAACAAAATTTTGCCAATGTATTGCATAAGATATGGCTCCAATTCCAATATTTTTCTAATTTTTAAGAACTATCAAAGAGTTCTCCATTATATGTCTCAAAATTTAAAAAAATCTAATAAAACTCTTAACTAAAATTATTAATATGTTTAATAATAAAATATACTTAAGAACTTCAACATAGAGGTCTCCATTGTGATGCTCTTATGATTGGAGCTGCTCTTAGTTACTTATGTAAAGGACTTTCATTTGTATTAATTACTCATCGTTGATGAAGAAAGATTTATCTTCTTCTTCTTCTTTTGCTTCTCTCCCTTTCTCACTTTGGCTACCCATCTTCTACTGCAAGAAATGAAAACAAAGGAATTGATTCGAAAGGACAAAGGAAGAAGCTAGGACTCGGACTCGAACCAGATCAATGAGCTCGAGTTTGAGCATCCAAGAGGAAGAAACCCAGCACGGGAGATCCTAGAAAAAACGGTCTTTGATCACACATGGTGGGGTGTAAAATTTTACTCAGAAATACAACCAAACCCAGATCTGCAAACACAGCATATATCAATTCGCAGAAGCTTCTGATCTGAAAATCAGACGACAAATCAGATCACAATCGCGATTCAAAACTCTAGAATTAACTAATTCGGAATCAGACGAGAAATGAAGACTACCTCGGGTTTGCTATACAGATCTTTAATATTGATTTTTCAATCTGAGAGAGGTTTTGCCAGATCTTTTTTTTTATTGTCTTTGTTTATCGAAATCGACTCCATTTGCAGAAAACTCACCGAAATGGACTTTAGAATCTCCCTGGAAGCTCGAGAAGAAGAATAATAAGCAAAGGATGCAGACTATTCTTCGTTGTTGCTTCAATCTCATATATTCCACATTCTCAGGCGTATCTCCTTCTTTGTTCTCTTACTCCAGCCGCCGCGATTTCCCAGACGGCGTCACCTGGACGCGTTTCCATAACCAGTTTCAGGAGATCGTTTGTTTCAGCTACATCTTCGCTTTCCGGTGTCGGGATGAATTAGCGTCAGAGAGAAGAGGAGAGAAAAAGGTGAGGAAAAGATGGAATGTGGAAGCAGAGGATATAAATTAAGTTTTCTCTGAATTCGAACAGCATTGTATTTTTCATGGAATGTAAAAAGTTTTTTAAAGATAGAAATTCCGCGATACTTTTAGATAATAAAATGAGTTTTAAGAAAATTGATTTGCTGATGTGTTAGGAAGAGGAGTGCTGAGGTGTCATCTCCTTGTGAGATACAAATCAGTCATTATATAATAGATTTTAAAATTTGATTTTAGATGAATTAAAAAATGTAGCGCCCGTGTTATAAAAAAGAAAATGAATTAAAAAATTAAACACGTGTTTAAAAGAAAAAATATATATATATATATAGTTGACAAAAAATATATATATATATATATATATATAATTACTTTATTTAACACATGACTTCATCAATAACCACATGTATCAATGAAAAATTAGTCAAATAGTTGTACCCAAGTGTTCAGTTGTACTGAGATACACATAGTTGTATTTTGAGAATTTTTACCTTTAATTAGTTAAACTGTGTTCTAAATTAATTTTTTATAGTTGTACTTATGATATTAAATAACTAAAATACATTTACTATACTTTCATATAACAATATATGTTCAAAT